CAAGGTGTTCTCGGTCGAGAAAACCCCGATTAAAGTTTGTTCGGCCTCAAATGGTCAAATCTAGTTCAGACCTGGGTAGTCCTTTGTTGAGCATCCACAGTAAGTTTTCTTTTCTTTTTAGTTTTGTTGGAATATTGATTGAATTTGTTAACATGCTTAGTCGGTCTGTTTGGTATTTCTGATGTGTTCTTTCAATTCCTTCCATCTTCGTAAGACCTTTTTTATTTGGTCGATTACTTTTCTTGTTTATTATTAAATACGTATGGTGAGATAAATATTCGATTAGATTAATATCGTCGAATAGATAATTCATATAGCCTCCATGTGTTGTGCAAAGTTGTTGAAGGCAGTTGATGCCCCGTTCGTGTTGTTTGATTGATCGACTGATCGTTCCATGTTATAATTAGTATAGTCGATTAGATAAACGTCGTCGATTAGTTTTATAGGACTGAATGTTCAAATATTCTAATTCGTATAACTTCACATGATTGATCGAACCTTTGTCGTTAATTGGATGCTTGACATTGTTTGAAAGTGGTTTGTAACTGCAATGCAAACAATTAGAATTCAGTCTAGGGTAGCTTCGAATTTGAACTTTCAGAAGTTCAAAATATCCCACTGATGCAGTAGTAATAAGCTGGGGGCTAACAGGGGTAATTTGGGGGTTTGAAAAGAGCAGAAATGACTAGTTTAAGTGAGCTGACATAGGGTACTAAAAAGGACTTAAACTAATGTGATAATGGGGAACCAAACTTGGTAGCATGGGGTTGATTAAATATTAAAGGCTGCCCATACCTTTGGGCAGAAAACACATGCTGAAGGGCTGTCAAATGGATGGGCATGAAGCATTCTTTTGATTAGTTTAAAGGGGTTATGGGCAGGAAAAGGCCGAGGGGATCAAGACAGCCTGAAAGGGGCCATTTCTGCCTATAAATAGGCCTGTTTAGGACAAGGAAAAGGGGTTTGAAAAAACAGAGGAGAGGTCAGTGAGTATTGAAAGCATAAGCTGAAAAATTATTGAGTGTTCAGAGAAGAATAAAAACTGTTAGTTCTAAAGGGTTGGTCTGTTACTATCTCGTTAGGGTATTCTGATTTCCCTGTGAGATTACTACTGAAATCTGGGCTTCTGTATGATGTTGATTGAGTTTGGTCTTATTGTTATTGAAGCTGCTGTTGGTTATTCATCGAGTTTGTTGTGATTATTGAACTACTGTCACTATTGCACTTGGATATTCTGGTTTTTCTGCTGGTTTACCACTCTGTTCTGGGATTGTTGGTTGATTGCTCGACCACTTGTGGGTTTGTCATTGTTGTGGAACTGTTGTTGCTGTTTATTGCTGCTGTTTGTTGCTGTATGGTTGCCTGCTGTTGATATTTTTCTTCTTCTCATTTTTATTGTCCAACATCCAGGTACACATTCTAATTTCACTGGTGTAATGATGAATTTGGAGCATGAATAAGAGCTAAGAAGAATTGCAGTCCGAACATTAGCATAGTTACTTTTATTTTGTTGTTTGTGGTTTAGAATATCTTTGTATGCTTGACATGTAAAGTTTGGCTTTCAAACTGTGTAATAAAACAGTTTTCAGTCCATAAGAGTTTGGTCCGGTAATTTGTCGTTGTATGTTAATCAAAAAGAAACTAGCAGAGTAGTAGTGATACTCGGCCAACAATGGTTTCACATAGGATCTGTTAAAAATGTCAATGCTAATCACATTTGTTTCACCCTAGTTCATCAGTAGACAATGTATATTTCGAAGGCATACTAGGCAATTTGGATTATCGCAAAAAGATAAAAATCGCGTAGTTAAGCATAAGACATGTAGTAATATCACCTGAGTTAGATGGGGTCAGTTTCAGTTGTTTCGCCTTTTTAAGTGTCAAACATGTGGGGAATAATTAACTAAACCTCATATGTTTGCCCGTCAATGAATAAGGTTACATACGTCTAATTTCTTCATCTAACAATGATAGAATAGATAATCTGCTTCGATATTTTTGTGCGTCAATCCCATGTTCTAGTGTTATTAAATAATAGAATATAGAACGGGAGCAATCTCTCTTTGTACAAACTCGATTGCAATTTTTCATTTGCATTAGCCGCAAAACTAATAACTAATAAGTTCGATTTTTTTTAGCATGTAATTAATTGAGGGATTTCCTTTTATTTCTAGAGACGAACTCGATAGAAGAAATGTAGTCACTATAGGTTTATCTTTTTAAAAATAAGAATGAGATGAGCCTCGCCAAACAAAAAAACGAAATTGCGGGGCCCTCAGTAAATATTTGCTTTAAATTTGCTTAGGCTTCGGGGTGGACCGTTTAGCAAAAATTTCACGACCCTACCCAAAATAATGATACGCTAGTCGCTTTAGGTGCGTATTTAATAATGTTATCTCCTTAAACTCGGGTGCACATTTATGTGACCCAAATCCAAATCTCAACGGAATCGAAATGAGTCTCTAATCACGGGTACATTGATTGTGACGTGGTCTGAGATGCATTTATCTGACGTTGCAAATTCCTTTTTTTAAATAATGAATGGGACGAGCCTCGACAAACAAAAATGCACAAGTTGCGGGGCCCTCTAAATGTATATATTAAAATACTTAGAACTCGGGACAGGTCGTTTAGCGAATTTTACAGCCTTCCCCAAAATAACAGTACGCTAGTTGCTTTAGGCACGCCGTTAATAATTTATTTTCCTTAACTCGGGTGAACATTTATGTGACCCAAATCCAAATCTCAACCGAGTCAAGATATGTCAACAACCACGGGTGCATTGATGTAACGTGGTTCGAGATATATTTTCACGACGTTGCAATTCTCGTAAAATATAATAATAAAAGCAGTCAAGAGTTAAAATTTGCACATAAGTTCGTATTTGTATAAAAACAGATAATCAAGCCGAATATGACAGTTGAGCGATCGTGCTAGAACCACGGAACTCGGGAGTGCCTAACACCTTCTCCCGGGTTAACAGAATTTCTTATCCGGATTTTTGGTGCGCAGACTGCAATATAGAGTCATTCTTTTCCTCGATTCGGGATTAAATTGGTGAATTGGGACACCCTAAATCTCCCAAGTGGCGACTCTGAAATAAACAAACAAATTCCGTTTCGATTGTCCTTTAATTGGAAAAACTTCCTACGTCCTCGCGGGGCGAAAAAAAGAGGTGTGACACTCCCCTCATTACTTTAACCATTCTTTTTCAAAACTTAAACACTAAAACTCTTCCATAAAACTCATATAAATATTAAAAAACAGAAAATAACTAAGTGGAGAAGGGCCAAGGGTTACTGATGGACCTTGTCGGAAAACCTCATCTCCAGAGACCTTTCTCTGTTTGTCTCATTTTGTCATGTCTGACAGAACCCTTGTTCATATCAGTTAATTTAATTGTTTGGGGGGGGGGGTTGAAGTGAAGATGCCTCCGATTGGACTCTATCGTTGCCACCTTCGCCGGACAAATTTGAAAGAATCGACTCCAATGAAAACTTCAGTCTTCTCTCTTTATTATCTTCTTGATGCTAAATTTGGGTTATATCACTGTTTCTAATTTGTTATTTTTTGCGTAAAATTTCTCCTTAAATTGTTGTCTAGCCGATTCAAGCAATTGGTTCTTGTTTTTGTGTTTATGTTGGAACTAAGATGTTGTCATCAGTAGTAATTAAAGGGGTTGTTAGTATTTATTTGGTGGAGATAAGGATGATGGGGTGATGGAGATGAGGGTGATCGGGATATTGGTATTTATGTGGTGGCAACTTAGGTGTCTTAGATAAAGCTGTAGTGGTATAGTTTTTTGGGTACTTGATTAAGGCTGTCATGGATAGTGATCGATAATGGAGGTGAGTGTCGGTTATGAAGGAAGGAGAGAGACCAAGAGAAAAAGACGTATTTTTCTGTCAAGGAAAAAGAAAATTAGGTTGAAAAATAACTTCACGCTCTCAAAATCTTGTTATCCAACACGTATATGCCACATCAGCCACAAAGGTTCAGAAGATACGCTTTTGGTAAGTAGAGGTGTCTTAGTTGGTCAATTGGGAAGTGGAGGTGTTCAACTAACAACTTAAAGGGGCCTTTTATGTATTTCGCCTAAAAAAAAGGTCAGAACTATGGCTTGAGTCATAACTCATTATTTAACTCATTTGAACTCAAGCAATCTTTGAACATGTTGGATCATAATCTGTTTATTGATCAAGCCGTCCAGTTGATACATCTTTTATAAACTCAACTCCAACTAATTTGAATCTCAAACTAATTAGTTCGTTGACATTGACAAACATGAGGTCTACGATTGAGGTCGAAGTATTATAACAAAGTGGGTAATTAAAAAATGGGGACCTCCCATGTTCTATATATTAAACAAAATGGAATCATTAGGTGATACTCCTACTATAGGAACGTTGATGTAAAGATTAGCATATCGTGGCTGGTCGTTACAGCCTAATTTTATATTTCAAAAAGAAACAACTAAGTAGATGAAGTAATTAAAGGTTTGCCTTATATTGGGTTTACCAATTTATTTGAAAGTTAAAATAGTTAATAGTTACCAATTTATTTGAAAGTGCAGAATTTTTTAATCAACAGCTCGCTTGAACTAACAGCGACCTACTTCAAAATATTTTAGCCTTTTCTTTTTATTGGTATTTAATTTGGAACTGTTATAGAGGTGTTATATTCTTATCTCAGTGATCATTGATTTTTTTTTTCCAAATAAAAGTGCAAGTGACAATACTGAGAATAACATTTCTGCACTCATAAAATTTTCCTCCCATTTTGCTCTTCCTGTTAGAGTTGGTGCAAGAACCTCTTGTTTCCCTTCTTCCTTCGAGTTGGTTAGGCGCAAAAGCGAATCAAGGTTTTGAACTTTGTGCATTTAACCTTTTAGATTCTTACTATTGAACTATATTTTTAAATTTATGAGTTCAAACTTACTATTTATTACAATTTTAGTGTATTTTTTCATAAATTTATGTTCTCCATCAAAAGTACCAAGTTCAGTTGATTCCACTAATACAACATTTTATCCGCCCCCAGCTAGACATCAATCAAAATCTGAGAAGACAAATAGGCATTAAGCATAGAAAAAGTTTGATGTACTGAACTTCTTTTAGTGCTTGTACCTTTTGGAGGGGCAAAATTTGCATTCTTGATTGAATATTGAGCCATAAATATTCCAAAATTTGGAACCACCCATATTTGTGTTCTCCATTTAATCACAAGCACAGATAACAAGCAGCTCGAAGAAACAAACAAGCAAAGGGAACTTATGCCCAACTGCGAATTAATTATCACTGGAAGCAAGTCAGAGTCAGTAACCAACTTTCATGAACCAAAACGTTCTATTTAACTTCTATGAATGAAATTATTTACATAAAAAAGAACCCCTTCCTACACTTACTATATTCACATGTCAAACCAGCTAATTCCTAATATTATTCCAATAAAGATAAAAAGAAAAACAAAGTGCAAACTAACTCTGACCTGTAAAAGCAACAAAGCCAGTTTATTATGCTTTCTAAGCAATAGGGTCTCACCTTCAGGAAATTCATGAGAAACATCTCCCAGAAAGCCCGAGAGGAAGAAAACCAGGACCCCATGACCTATTTTGGCAACGGTGGTCGCTGAAGCATTGAGTTGGCGAGCTCATCATTTAGCTTTACAGGGAGTGGAGGCATCTGCCTCATTATCTCTGGCGCGTCATTCAAGCTGCAAAAGAGTAGTTATCAACATGCAGTGAAACTGCAAGCAAGTTGAGAGAGGTCAAGAAATTATGCACCTTGTTGAGCAAATAATACAAATAGAAAATTTGATATACAAGCCCTTTAAATGTTCCAAGATTTAGAAGAACTATTGGGGTTAACTTTTAATGTTGAAGTTTGGCAAAATGCCAAAGTCCCACATCGGTTGGGAGAAGAGTTTGGGGGATTTTTCCCCCTATAAAAGAAGGCCTAATGTTTAGGATTTAAACACACCTCTCATTTGCCTTCTTATCTTCTTAAGGCATTTGTATCTTCTCTCTTTAGTATTATTTCACTTGTATTTTTGGAGTGGAATAAAATATTGGTTGTGTCCGAGGAGTAGGCAAAATTAGCCGAACCTCGTAAATTCTGGTGTTCCCTTTATTGTTGCTTTATTGTCTTATTTATTATTTGGTGGCTGTCATAATTTTTGGTATAGTAGTTGTGACTTATTCACACTAGTAGTTGTTTATTTGATTCTGCTTCTTTCTTTGCAAATACCCATTTGCACCCAATTGCTTTCTTTCCCTTCGGGAGATTGGTGGCCAAAGGATATGCTCAAAAGGAGGGAATTGATTACAATGAAGTGTTTTCTCCAGTTGTAAAACATTCCTCCATTAGAATTATGTTGGCTTTGGTAGCACAATTGGATTTGGAACTAGTTCAGATGGATGTAAAAACTGCGTTTTTACATGGAAACTTGGAGGAGGAAATCTACATGACTCAGCCAGAAGGATTCAAAGTTGCTGGAAAAGAAAATATGGTGTGCAAACTTGAAAAATCGTTGTACGGATTGAAACAATCTTCTAGACAATGGTACAAGCGATTTGACGAGTTTATGTTGCGGCAAGGGTACAAGAGAAGCAAATACGATCATTGTGTGTATTTGCGCAAGCTTAAAGATGGTTCCTTTGTATATCTTCTCCTCTATGTTTATGATATGTTGATAGCTACCAAGAATTCGGAAGAAATTGATAAGTTGAAGATTCAACTGAAGAAGGAGTTCGAGATGAACGATCTGGGTGAGACAAAGAAAATTCTTGGCATGGAGATAATAAGAGATAGACGTTCAAAGAAACTCTGTTTATCTCAGAAAGAATATTTGAAGAGAGTACTACAACGTTTTGGCACAAATGACAAGACTAAGCCAGTTAATACTCCACTTGTTCCCCATTTTAAGCTGAGTACTACTATGTCGCCAAAGGATGAAGCTGAACGAGAGTATATGTCAAAGGTACCATACGCAAATGTTGTTGGTAGCTTGATGTATGCAATGGTTTGCACAAGGCCTGACATTTCACAAGCTGTTGGAGTTATTAGCAGATATATGCACAATCCAGGGAAGGAGCATTGGCAAGCTGTGAAGTGGATTCTACGGTATATTCATAATACTGTAGATGTCGGGTTAGTTTTTGAGCAGGAAGACAATCAGTCTGTAGTTGGATATTGTGACTCAGATTTTGCGGGTGATATGGACAAACGAAGATCAACTACTGGTTATGTGTTTACTTTTGCAAAGGCACCAGTTAGTTGGAAGTCTACTTTGCAGTCAACAGTTGCTTTGTCTACAACAGAGGCAGAGTACATGGCTATTACAGATGCTGTGAAAGAGGCAATTTGGCTTCAAGGATTGCTAAAGGAGCTTGGTGTTGAACAAAAAGGTATCACAATTTTTTGTGATAGTCAAAGTGCTATTCAATTAGCGAAGAACCAAGTTTATCATGCAAGGACGAAGCACATTGATGTTCGGTATCATTTTGTACGAGAAATTATAGAAGAAGGTGGAGTCAAGATAAAGAAAATTAATACTACAGAGAATCCTGCTGATATGCTGACAAAGGTGGTGACTGCGGTCAAGTTTCAACATTGTTTGGATTTGATCAACATTGTTGAACACTGAAGATTGAAGATGAAGACACAACCAAAATTTGTTATTGAGAGAGAATTGAAAATGTGGAATTTTGCCAAGGTGGAGATTTGTTGAAGTTTGGCAAAATGCCAAAGTCCCACATTGGTTGGGAGTTAAGTTTGGGGGGGATTTTTCCCCTATAAAAGAAGGCCTAATGTTTAGGATTGAAACACACCTCTCATTTGCCTTCTCATCTGTTTAAGGCATTTGTATCTTCTCTCTTTAGTATTATTTCACTTGTATTTTTGGAGTGGAATAAAATATTGGTTGTGTCCGAGGAGTAGGCAAAATTAGCCGAACCTCGTAAATTCTGGTGTTCCCTTTATTGTTGCTTTATTGTCTTATTTATTATTTGGTGGCTGTCATAATTTTTGGTATAGTAGTTGAGACTTATTCACACTATATACATTTGGCTTCCGCAACATTTACATCCTTCCTCTCTTCTCGACAGCCAGTTTGTCTTTCTTTCTTTACCAAAATTGTCGATCAATCTATCTTCCTTATTTTCAATATATGCTTGACAAGAAACTTCTACAGTTATTGGAAGGAAGTAGATGCGCAAAATCATCATATAGTAAAAGTATGTAGTCTTGAAAATGGAGAAGAGGTTCACTCATGATAAAAGCATGGAAATGACATTCACTCATGATTAAAAAAAATGAAACTAACACAAAAACAAATACATGCGCAAAGATAGAGAGTGGAAGGATAATCCGTCATACTCATTTAAGATGGAGAGGATATTGTTTCGAGCTTGGCAGAAAAGGTTGATGTTTTCCTGGATCTGCATGGTAACAGAAGAGAAAAGCATGAAGAAGAACATAAATACCACCAATCACAAAAGACGGATAATGCTTTACGTTGTGGATTGTCAAGCAAGATCAAAATCTATCACATGTAACTTTATTACGAATAGTATAGCAGACTCGTCACCAGGCAGTAGGCACAGCATGGAAGAATTGCAAGATGCTGTTCCCTGGATGAGTGCACTGAAGAAAAAGGATCTTGCAAGCATAGAATATCATGATGCAGCAGCATAACAGAAAAGAAGTCCTGAAAGTTTCTCTATTTTTAAAATTAGAAACTATTTCTGAATTTTCCTTCAAAAGAAAGATCATCCCCTATAACTGTTTCTCATGCCTGAACGCTTACTGGGTTTGCAGAAGTTAAAACTCTAAAGTGCAAGAATTGCATTTTATCATATATAGAAATGCCTCCATGAGTAGAATAAAAGAAAAAGAATCACGTGCCTCCTACGAAATTGAACCTTGTCACTGTAGGGAACAAGAAGAGGATCAGGATATCTTTTTTCTCTCACTCCCAGTAGAGGCAAAATTTTAGCCACTTTCTCTTCATATCAGGCAATGAAGACTTAAATCTACCCCCTTAACCTTCATGCGAGCAATGTAATGAATATTCCTTTCGTTCTTTTATCAGTAAAGACAGAATTTCATTAAGTAGGAACCTGCACTGAGAAAGTGCTCAAATATACAGCTAAAGTCTAAGAGACAGTCTCCCACTATTCCTGAAGGAAGCTGATAAAATCAAATGCAGTCTACATGATTATAATAAGATTTACACCAGTAAAGGAGCTGATAAACAAAAGAGACACATATTCTCCTTTTTCAAAAACCTATTACTAGTGTAAGCAGCAGATCACCCATATGGTTTACCTACATAGAGTATACACTGAGTGTCACAGCTCACAAATAAAAGGATGGCAGGGGGTAATGGAAAATATCAAAAACATTAACTGACCTTAAAAATAGCAAAGTTAGCAGAAATTTGATCCAAGGCCTGTGCATTTTGCTCAAGCAGCTGTCCAGCAGGACCACCAATGGCTGCAAAGTACATGATTTACATGTGCCATATATGAACAAAATAAAATAAGAAAAAAAAAGAGGACCTAAATAACAAACATAATTATTTCACATTGGCATACCATGGACAGAATAACAGGAGAATGTATGCATATTCATCGAATTGTTATTCTATCTACAAAATGCAACAAAACATTCTGAGTTGGTTGTAAGTGCATTGGTAAAAAGAGCATTCCTCTACAACACCATGAAATAAGACTATAGGATAAAATGGAGCAGATACAAAAATTGAAGATCCAAGGGTTCAAATAATTGCTAACAATTTTTTTTGCTAACAATGATAGAGCACGTAGAGCAGAGTTCATATTACCCACCTTAGCTATTGAATAGTACAAATAAAACTCGATGGTCATCATGAATGGCGAGAATATCATCCAGCATATAGCTCAAGTCACAAACACTCATCTAGAAGTTAATTGTCCAATTAGGAAATAAAAGATTTGTATACTCCTTTTCTATTAGTTATCAGATAAGAGTGATATGTTCTTTAATATCCCCAATAGATTAGCTTTTAGAAAGTACTAAGTAACATTCATAATCGTATCATTTCCAACATCATAAAATCCAATTGATAATAGGTTAACTTTTCAAAACACCACAAGAAACCCAAAAAAAAAAACTAGAAGCACAAAAAAAATCCAAACCAAATCCACTGTCCAATAGTTTCACTAGATTTAGAAAATCCACTAAGTTGGTAGAGACTAGAGAGTTGGCTGTAGCTGTGACCAATATCCGAAAAATAAAAATGGGCGACCTCACTCACAAAAACTCATTGAAACTTTTAACATCATGCAATAAATGCTCACTGTTAATTCCATGTGAAAACAATTGGGTACCTTTTATATGAACTACATTTATATGCATAATAGTTCTAGTGAATAATCTGCCAAACTTGAAGTGACTGGTGTCGGTTTATGAAAATAGTACATCTCCTGATCTACCAGACAAAATGTTCGCACTTTCTTTGGGGAACACTGGAAAGGTGATGACCTAGCTAGCTTCATATTTTCGCATTTCAACTAGTCTAGCATTGACCCTTTCGTTCACATGTTGTTCTATTATGGAATGAAAGAAACCAAAGACATTTTGAAGGCGTCTAAAATTGAAGTAAACTTTACCTACAAAAAACAACTCAAATTGAAGTAATCTCTCAGTTAGTGTGATTATGTCAGTTATCAGAACCTCTCAGTGATGCAGTTATGATCATCAAGAGGAGATTATATGTTTACCATCTCTATTCATTTCATCTTTCCTAATATGTATACCTTCCTCTAACATGTCATTCCAGGCAGGACTGCGAAACTCTAGAGTGCAAAAATAAAAGCAGAGACAGCTCTAAAAAGCAAAGTCCTAGTTAAAAATCAGCTTCTCAAGTTTCAGTTGATTTTTAAAAGCAGAATCAGAGGCATAAGGACCAACCTTGGTAGGAAATTCCATCATCACTGTCCATTGACATAACAGCTTGAGCATAGGGAGGACCATTTGTGCGATTCGCAACATGAGTAGATTTTGGCATAGAATCCGTAATTTTTTCCTAAAACCAAAGATCAATGGAATCATGATAAAGAACTAATTATTCAAAAACCATTGCAATGTACAGCATAGCTGTCATCGTTGAGACTGCAAGTAAATCATTTGTTTCCTTTTTTTTTCTCTTTTTGGTATAAGTAAGGCGACTGCAAACAAATCTTTGTTTCAGTGGTTTGAAAAGGAGTAGATTACACAAGATAATCATCCAAGAGTAAAAAAGGCAACCATACATATGCAGTACTTTAAAGATATCAGCGGCCATACACCTGATGGGATTTAGCTAAATGGGTGAGTAAACTAAAACAGCATAAGACTTACGCAGTCTCTGAAAAGCTAGTCAGCGATATAGCAAAGCCTCCTTGTTGGCTCGTTATATTCTCAATGAAGGCTTAACTTGGGTAACAGCCCAGAATCATCATTAGTAAACAAACACGTAATGCGTGCATATGTTGTTATAGTTGCTCTTTTTGGGTAAGCACATCAGCCTTATTGTTTATGTCATACGCATGTTGTTTGTTTCCAAGATTTCAATCACATCAAAGTTTTTCAAATGACATGGATCTCACATCAAAAAAAGAAACTATATTGAAAAATCTGAAGAAAGAATGATGACAAAATATAAGATCAATGAACTCTTCATAATAAAACCAAAATGGCTACATATGGATGTTTTCAACCAGCAACCCAACGTGCCTCATTTAGAACCTCACTAGCAGCATCATTGTCCAATGGGAAAGATGGCTATGTATGGATGTATATTGTAACAAAGAAACATTCCTTCCACAAATTAGAAACTTGCTAAATGGAAACACCCTTTTTCTTAAGTATCTCCTAAAAAGGGGCCCAGAACCAGGTACTTCAATTAGATAACACACCTTTTTGTCTTTATTTTTCCTCGAAACTTGATCGTCTTTTCTTCTCTTCCCGTTTTCCTTTTTCTGCTTCAATAAAGAGAAAAATGGAAAAGGTAAGTTAAACATAGTTATTATGCATAACTGAAAAGAAAAAGAAAAAACTGATTTAGCTCCAAACAAGGCATTGTAATAAAACTGATTCAGCTCCAAACAAGGCATTGTAAAGTCCTCCTTCTTCTCAAACCAAACTTTTGTAAGAATACAGTATACCTTTTAAGTTTCCACACTTGTCCCCCATACAGCACTTTGTTCTTCATGGAGTTTACCGTTTAACTAGAAGCCAAAACCTTTTTGGAGAGGTTAAAGTTGTTGAATGGCAGAAATCCCACATCGGTGAAGTACCAATTTTGGTTGGTACTTCACCCTATAAAAGGAGGCCTAATGTTTAGGATTTAAACACACCTCTCATTTGCCTTCTTATCTTCTTAAGGCAATTTGTATCTTCTCTCTTTAGTATTATTTCACTTGTATTTTTGGAGTGGAATAAAATATTGGTTGTGTCCGAGGAGTAGGCAAAATTAGCCGAACCTCGTAAATTCTTGTGTTCCTTTTATTGTTGCTTTATTGTCTTATTTATTATTTAGTGGCTGTCATAATTTTTGGTATAGTAGTTGTGACTTATTCACACTATATACATTTGGCTTCCGCAACAAAAGCAACCCCATTCAGGAGATGGCAAGACCATTGAACAAAAAAGGGATATCCATTTCTCTTTTTTTAATTATTATTAGGTTGACTTAATTAATTTACAGTTAAGTAAATTTACTGACAAATTGTGCTGGGATTTATACAGTGTCATGACTATTGCTCCTTCTACTACAAGGGGTCAATATAGACCAGATGAGTTACAAAATGATCTACATTCCCATCTAACACCAAAAGGCCAAGAAATTTAAGCATCTCTATATATGCAATCGATTCCACGACCAGAATTGCCTTAAGACCATCCAAAATTGCTTTATCTTCATTGACCATATTATACATAGCCGGATGGTGTCCCATGTTGCCTTGAGACGCTTGTTTATCATCTTTTGATTGCTCCAACTACTGATTGCACCATTAGTTGCTGGATATCACCCAATTAATGCCAAAAAAGAGATTGGTAAACAGTACAAATTAGGCAGGACATTGTACGACGCAGAAACTGTTTGGAATCTTCCAATGCATCAACACACACAAGCATCTAGTATACATATTTATTCCCCTTCTCCGGAGATTTGCTTGAGGTGAGTCGTCCAGCCATCTGTGCTGCCACATCTTGATGTTCTTCGAATCATCAACTTTCAAATTGACTAGATTCTGAAATTCTTACCATAGGTTGCCAATGTTTTTCCAGACACACCAAAAACACAATTTTTGCAAAAATGGTCATGGCGCCCACTAATTATCTAGTAAACCTTAAGAAAATAATTTCTCAATCTTGGACATTCTCAAGTTCAAGATCTTCTAGATACCTAGACTCGAAATCAAGTCTAGCACCCTAAGTATGTATAAAAATAACATCCTCCGGACCAATCTCTTACCAAGTCCTACTTTTTCTGGTTACATCCTTAAAGAGCAGGTCAGAAAGACTTCCAATTCAACTAATCTCAACATTTCAATTATGGAGAGGCTAAGAAGTATGCTTTAAGCGTTAAAATTGCCTGTGACAGTAGCTGATTGATAAATATGCGAATAGATAGTTAAAACTAATATGGAATCGTACGACTTACACTCATCCATCTACATCTCAACGCTATATCTCGTACACACTTGTCCTTTAACTGCATAGCAATTTTAGCATAACGATGTATTGGTTTGTCAGTTGCGTATCTGCAAAAATAGCATTGCACTGTCAATTTTAAGCAAAATATCCATCTATCAAACCAAACTAAGCAAATCCAAAGTACACATGCAGCAAATAGAATCAAACAGTGATTAGTCAGAAAATGACCAGAAAAGTTGTATTGCGCAGAAATGCATAATCAGTTAAACATAACAACCAGGGCATTCACATTTGCAATAAGCCTTTCATGAATATCATGAAAAACACGATGAATAAAGCAAAGGACTAATATCTGCTCATCTATGTTACAGATTTAAAACAAGGTTTCCCATGCAATCTTGTTATTCTCCGCCCTTTACTTACACTTACTCTAAATGGTAAAACTGTCAGAGTGAATTCCTAGCGTGATTCTGGGAAATTGATGATTATTCGTTCTCATCATATGTACCTGACTTTTCAGGCAGATGCCACTATCAATGGGTATGATGAAAAGGACAACAACAAGGACTTTGCATGATCTAGCTTTAGTCAAGACTAGAATCCTTTTATTTCATTGAAATTAACAAACAAACAAAAAACATTATTTTTAAGTAATTTATCATATATCTATGTTATCAAAATGATACATCTCCTAAATAAACATCAAAATAAGTTTGCTTTACCCTCTTATCGGTCTTCCCTTCCCGACCTCTCAGAGTAAAAAGTTCTCACCTTTTTTGAGTATTTTTTTGGTCAAGCATAAAATTACTTCAAACATAAGGCATCTGAATATTATGGAACATTGCTTGGTCAACAACCTTTTACTAGCAAGTGCTTAGTTTTTGGTAATATTGACTAGCGTGGACCCCACTCCTGGTTTTAGAAAACAAAACAAACATCTTTCTATCATTAAAAATTTCTTAGATGAACAGGAGCTTAATTAAACAATTAGATAGCAAAAGAATAAAGGACTATACTGACATAAGTCAGAACAAGAGGCAGATATAGCATGTCTACTACAGGTTCAACTGAACCAGCATTTTCGACATAGAAGCTTACACATCTATGTAAAATTACAAAATTTCAACAAATATTGAATTCTGAACCCATAATTTCAAAAGTACTAAGCGGTAAAATTTTAAAGGTTTGAACCATCAAGTTTAAGTCTTGGATCTCTCAGAAGTGTTAAAATTGTAGAGTTACAAGTAATATTTCACAGATTAGCATCAGTTTAAATACCAATAATCCGAAGATTACATAAAATACACAGCTTAGCAAGCACAATCACGTGCAGAAGAGACAGTACTGTAACATACTTGGCGAGCAATTCTTCAAGGAGAGATTGTTCGTCGGGAGTCCATTCAACGGCAAGGCCTCTACTGTGAATTAGCTCCCCCTGATTCGGTCCAATCACAGAGTTATCAGGAACCGAAACACCGTTATTCGTTGTGCCGTTCGCATTATTCGTACCTTCTTGACCGCCATTATTACCCGCCGCCGGATTCGCACTTGCCGCCATAAAAATTCACTACTTCAAATCCGAGAAAATAAACCTCTCCGCCTTCTATTAGCAAAATTACCTCAGAGAAACGATGCAATTTGTATATATTGAGAAATTTAGAAATGTTTTAGTACTAAATTTGCTGAGAAAACGAGTTGGTTAGATGCGCGAGGGAATGGAAGGTGAAAGAGAGAGAAAATCTGCGGGAAAGTGTTTAAAGGATTGGGTGTGTGCGCTAATCTTTAAGCAAACACTTAAACGTGATTAGACTACTCTAATGACATGTATGGCTTAGATATTTGAGATGATCCACTGTACTTTACTATTAACGATATTTTTACGCAAATAGCCGGACCGGTTCACCTTTTAGTTTTTCTAGCTGTTATACCTTAATCTAATTGATAAAGTTGCCGCGAGATGACAAGCAGAGTACGGTTTCGAGCCGTAAAAACGACATATAATAGATCCTTGTTGTCCTTCTCCGAACCCTGCTATGCGCGGGACCTGAGTGCATCAGTTGTCTTTTTGGTGTACATAAATCATATGTTGATTATACATGGTTGTATACTTATTAAACATAAATATATATATTGTATATTTATTTATTATTTTTAATTTAAATGGTTAAGCGGATATGTAAGTTATTCCCATGAGATATCTATATTTAAACAGATAAATAAATTATGTGACAGTGCGTGTGTAATACCTTCAAGACTTCGACCATAAAATGGTAATACTGGATGGTGTTTTATTTAATTTGTTTAAAATGTTTGATTTCGGAAGTATCACTATGAAATGACAAAAAAGTTTAGTGATTTTTCTTGCACAATTCTTATTAGACTGAGTGATTGTCTAATAAATTAATTTTGTTTAGATTATATGCACTATTGTGTCATATCACTCGAGTAATTAATATGACGAGTAAAAATATTTCAATAAATATTACAATCGATAACATGATAACAATGGTAATTAATGAAACTGACTAGCTAGAGGCTGACTTGTGAAAAATACCAAAAAAAAAAAAAGGAGGAAGGAAATCGTTTGAGCAAGTTAATTAAAACTGTTTATTACCCGCAGCTTGCCATAATTAAAATGGAAGTAATTCAATGTTTCTTGCTGCAGCTTTCCTTAATTGAAATGGTGGTTTCTTATTTTCAATCAAGGAAAAATTTGGACGCGTACTACAAAGAATTAAGCAATTAAATCAAGCAATTAACTTGAGAGAGAAAAAGAGAAAAAACTATATTAAAGATATTAGCTAAAACAAATACTATTATTTTTATACCAAAATTTTGATATAATTTATATCTCATAAAGAAAGATTTTAATTTTGGAATATTCTAGTTTTGAATCGAACAATCCCTAGCGTATTCGCTAATATGAAACCTAGCACTTGTTTTCTTATTGATTCCCAGGGCAGTGACATTCTTGAATAAAGTCTATCCGAACCTAATTAACACTTCTCAGATCAGGCTAGGCCTCTCCAGCTGAGCTGGACGCCGGGGCCAAAAGTCATTCTAATATAAGATTTTATCTTATTTTCATTTTATTTATTATTCCTGATCCGGAGGTAACCTCATAACATAATATGTCTACATCGAGTGTTTTCTCCAACTAATATCTTAGACTTACAAACAATAATTCAGAGATGACCATTAGTTCATACATCACTCATGAATTTTAATTATGAAAACAGTGAGCTAACTTTCCTTCCATCTATGTATTACGCGTCCAAAATTTACCTTGATCGAAAATAAGTAATCTATATCTATATCTATCTATCTATACTATATTAAAAATACGAAAACCCTTAACGAAATATCGTTCGTCTTTTTTATCTTTTAAAAGTATAGTTCACACCGAACAAAATAGTCATTTGATTATTTATTTTTTATATTTAGAAATAGTCATTTAATTATTTCCTAATATTTAGGACTTCAAATTCAACTAAATTTTTGTGTATTAAATCTTTCCTTATTTATATCATATAATGTAAGACATTTTTAAAAGAAATATAATAAAACTGAACGGTTAATTTTTTCCTAATATTTTAGGCAAATTTTTTTTAGCCCTTCAAATCCTTTAACGTTTGGGATTCTTGATCTTCCGGAGAGGAAAAGGATTCTTCAAAGTGATCTTTTCCATGAGTAATTACTGGCGTGAATTTAGAATTTTAATAGATAGAACAAAATTTCAATTTGATAGACATTACTATTTTATTGCTAGTATATATAAAATAAAACATAAAGGCCTAAATATTTTGGGAGAAATTTAAAAATATCCAGATTTACAACTGGTCGTTCAAAAATAGCTCAGTTTCAAAAGTAATCGAATTTTAGTCACTTTTCATATAAAGATAAATCTTAGCGAAAACATTGTTCAAAACCCGAAAAATACGCCAGTATATTATACTGGAGTTCCAGGATAAGTATGCTGGAACTCCAACATAATATAGTGGAGTTCCAGCATAAGTACACTAGAACTCCAGCATAAGTACACTAGAACTCCAGCATAATATACTGGAGTTCCAGCAAGTATAATTGTCCAATATAATATACTGGAGTTTGGAGCACCGGTGCTCCAGTATATTATACTGGAGTCAGCAAAGTATACCGGTCCAGCATAATATACTGGAGTTCATACACAGGTACACCGAACTCCAGTATATTATGTTGGACCAGTCTCTGTTGCAGTAAAATAGTGGCTATTTTTCATTGACTTCGTAAACGCTGGCTATTTTTGAATGACCAGTCCGAAAACTGGCTATACCGTGCTATTTTTACAAATATTTTAAGTCAAATTTTCGAGCAGTTTTAACTCCTTTTAGGTTTAGAAAATACATTAACTTGAATTTATAAATATAATAAAACTATTTTACGTATCGACATAACAAAATTTTTTATGTTTGGAACTAAAGTTAACTTTCACAAGGATTTATAAATCATATATAAATATTATCTACTCAATCAACATAACAAAATTCTTTACATTTATAACCCAAGTTAGTTTTCACAAGGATTATAAATCTAATAAAAATATGCTATTTTTTTTTATTTTTTTTTGGTTTTCTATTCGGTGTCTGATACTTGTATTGGGGCCGATTAGATTCAATTTTGCGTCGAAAAGTCTTATATTAACAAAGATAATTTTATACCCAGGACGTAAACCCAATAACTTTGATTAAGGACAGATTTGCCAAATTTACAATAGATGATGGAGTTTTTCAAGTATCACTACAATGAGACAAAAACTTTTTTCAGAGTTTGAATCGTTTTTGAAAACTTAATTAATCAATGCTTTATAATATATAAATAACTATTTTTTTGTTAATACAATTTTTCTTTTTTTGGTTTACAGTCAAATATTTTTTTTTAAACATAATATTTATAAGACCCATATGGGGCAGTACCAAAAAGAAGCGATGTTAGATTACACTTTTTCTTTTAAATATTCTAAATTATCAAATTTTTACTTTTAAAAAGTTAATGATAACAACATTCAATTTAAGGAAAAAAACGGGTAGAGCTTTTTCTCTATTGATTTTTCTAAATAGGCCCGGCATTTATTATTTTCATAAACTTGCATACATTTACCATTATTCTCTATTTTATAACATAGAATTTTTTTTAATAATATATCAGATATTTTAAATATATTAATATATGGTACACGAGCAACGCGCGCACCTTAAAACTAGTTATAATAATAATAATTACGTTTCAATTCCAAATAAGCTAGTGCCCATTATATGAATTTTCATTTCATAAATTGTGCTTCAATTCCAAATAAATTATGTCTCAATTCGTAAATAGTTGAAATTGGTTACTTTAATACTTTATATTCTTTCCGTTCCGATAGGAGCAATTAAGGTTGTCATGTGGGCCGGTTAGGCCCGGCCCGGTCCAGGCCTGCGAGCCCATATGAGTAGAGAGCTTAAACAGGCCTAACCGTTTAAACCCCGGACCAGGTGAGGTGGGCTCCTAAGTGGGTCGGTTCACTAAAAAAAGCACGTGAGGACCATGACCCGCTGCTAAGTGGGCTGGTTCAACCAACCCTAAACGGGCTCAAACGGGCCCAACGACTATCTTTTAAAAAAAATTATTCTAAAAAAAAAATTAGCCGTTATTAAAGTTTAAAAAATAGTTGTTGGCCTGTAAAAATAGTCGTTTGCTATCTATAATATATATATTATTTACAAGAAATTACCTTAGATAAAAAAAATTAAAAAATAGGCCATGCCCATTTAGGCCCACTTAGGGACCATGTAGGCCCGGGACGGACCCACTTAGCCTGGGACCATTAATTGGCGGTTCCGATCCCGGTCCTGTTCCTACCAATAGCCCACGAAGTCCGGGACGATTGAAGCCCGACCCATGAAGCCCAAGCCCATATAGGACCGGCCACGAGGCCTGTTTAGGCCCGGGCCTGGCCCATTTGGCAACCTTAGGAGCAATATTCAAAATAAGATTTCAAAAGGGAAAACGCATATATCTCTNCCTTGCATAAGACTAATCATTGTCTCATCTTCTTGAATGAGGCTAAGCATTGCCTCCCTAATTGCCTAAGGTTAAGCACTGCCTTTCCCTGCATGAGACTAAGCATTGTCTCCTCTTCTTGCATGAGGCTAAGCACTGCCTCCCTAATTGCATAAGGCTAAGCACTGTCTTTCCTTGCATGAGACTAAGTATTGTCTCCTCCTCTTGCATGAGGCTAAGCATTGCCTCCCTAATTTTATAAGGCTAAGAACTGCCTTTCCCCACACGAGAATAAGCATTGTCTCCCCTTTTGGCATAAGTAGAAGCATTGCCTTTTCCTTCCATAAAATTAAATACTGTCTCCACTACACTACCTAAAACCTAGAACTATCCCTTTGCTCACCTAGGGCTAAGCACTGCCCTCATCTTACACAAGACTAAGACTTGTCTTATCTTTTCCTCGCATATGACCGAGCATCCTATCTTTGCATTTCATACGCTAAAACATCGCCATTTTGTCCAAAGTCGTTATAGTCTGAAGGTATCATCCTTATAGCCGGGAGACACTATGGCATGGCTTGAGGATCTCTCAAAATTGCACATAATTATTCAAAGGCATCATCGTCCGGAGGCACCATCCTCATGGTGCGAGGACACCATTTCATGGTCTACGAATCCTTATCATGCACTTCATTGCCCAGGACGTCATGGTCTAAGGATATCATCCTCACTGTCCAAAGACAACCTTCATGGTCCAAAGGGAATTTCATCATGTTTAAATTTTT